AAAATGTGGTCATGTACCATCTGAGTAAGGCCTCTTTTACATGGCATTCTGCTCAGGGCCACCTGTCAGTTTTTTAGGTGGGCCTGATTGGAATCTCAATGTTGGTCTATGCAGTTGAATCTAAGCGGACGTGTGCCATTTATGTTTAATTACCTCTGAATCCGTCTAGATCTGTGAAAATAAAAAGGAACAGAGTTCCATTTTGGCAGACCTGATAGGAGTTAATTGGATGTAAACGGACACAAGTCCATTTACATCTGACTGCTCATAGACCTAACATGTGTCCAGTTTATTCAGTTTTTTCCTCCATGGTAAGTTGTAGGGAAAAATTGAATGGACACGGATGTCGCAAAAGTGACTGCCATTCCATACTGCTCTGACCAGCAGGTTCACGGATCCCTTGTTGATCAGAAAAGATGCTGTCCGTATGAAAGGGGCTTTAGGACAACCAAGCATTCTCAATACATCCTATATTGTAGGTATCATGCTTTCGATGATAATGCGATACAGGAGGCATTATGCTTTTGAAAACCATGAGACTACAAGATGCCCTTGCATGTTAATACAGGGCCTCCTGATCCTACACACAAATCTGATAAATCCAGAACTTCAGCACTCAAGTCAATTTACTAGATCACACAATGGATAAAACATGAGGTCAAGCAATAGCAATATACACTGAGTGGCCAGATTATTATGACCACCTGACGTTTGTAGGCAAATTAGCTATAATTTCACGCTGAAGTTGCTAGTGGGCCAGACCATTATAAATATGGAAGCAGGTTGTTTACCACGACAGTAGAAGTGATTTTTTTCTGAAGATATGGGTAAACAATGCGATTTACAGCCTTTGAACGTGGGATGATTGTTGGCGCTCAAGCCATGGAGCGAGTATCAGCAAAACAGCAGAATTCGTTAAATGTTCAAGAGCAGCTGTTGTTAAAGTGTTTAAAGACTGGACTGTCAGCCGAAAATCTGGGTCTGAACGTGCGAATTGTGGCCGTCAGCGACTAGTCAATGTTAGGGCAGAAAGGAGAGTGGCAAGACAGGTACAAGGCAACAGAAGGTCAACAGTGCAGTGTCAGATACCTCGCATCACCTTTCAACATCTCGTGGAGTCACGAGGCGGCCCAACAAAGTCATCTCGTGGAGTAATCTCGTGGCCCAACAAAGTACTGATGGGGTGGTCATAATAATCTGGCCACTCAGTGTATAAGGATAAATAACTAGACATTCCATCTCACCCATTCAATATCTCCTAAATTCAAATAGTGAAGGTAAAAGAATCACATTTGCTTTTAGTACCCTGTAAATTTAGAAGATCAACATATTCTTTGTGGTTGCTGTGGCTAATGCTACACTTTCTGCATAGAATGTGTATGTTCATCTCAGAAATGTATCCAATCCAAAGATCTACTGGCATTCTGACTTAACACTGTCAGTGCGTTTGTATGACATTGTGTGTATGACAATGTAGAAACATTTGCCTGAGAGTTCCTTTGGAACTGATGTCAATGGTTCAAAGTTCAGTGTCAAAGCATTTCTGAGTAAAATAAATATACTCATTTTTTTCTTCATTAAGATTGTGATTTGCATAGATACATAAGACAGTGATTAGTTCTTAGACTTAGTTTACCCCTTGGTCCTTGAACACCATCTGGGCCTGGCAGCCCAGTTCCGAGGTCTCCTCTTACTCCTTTCTCACCCTTTTCACCTGCATAGTGTGACAACATTAACACATATTATTATATACAAACATTCTACGTTGAATTTCTCACACTTCTATATCTATTTATACTACAACTGAAGCATTGCATCCAAACGTATGTGCATATATTAAGTGCCGCACTTCCAACATAAATGAGACACACAATTCAAATGCAATTCGTGATCTCAGTAAGCAAAATATAAAATGATATGTAAAAGCATAACTTTTCACAAAGCTCCCTTTCTGCAATAACAGATTCATATAGAAATTGTGCAAAAATAATATCTCAGTGAACAGCACAAAAAAAATTCTATTAAAAAAATATAGTGTATATACAATTCTCAAATAGTCCAAACAATAAATGTGAAAAATAAAATAACCATTTCACCGACATGTAAAATTTGCCACCTCTTTTGCCCACCCCTACTTACATATAGACTTATCACTATAAGAATATGTCACATGGACATTTATAAACCTCTGGATAACTCGGTATTGATCAGCAGATAAATAAAGAGATTATTCTCTAATATCTTTTTGTGCTTCCTCTATAGTTCAGCCATACAAATCATAAAGTCATTATTCATCCTGCAATATTTTTTTCTAGAACATTTAGATAATATATGAGCAAATTACTTTCTCAAATTTTGTTTGGTACAGCCCACATACTGCAGTCCAAACAGGCAATGCTGAACCATAATGAGTCAAAGCATGTTCTTAAAGAAGAACTCCAGGAATTAACAAAGTTAACCCTTGCAGTGGGGCTACCCCTGCACTAAAAGTGTAAACTGCTCATTTTCCTCTACGGGCCAGAATACAAAAGGTAGGCTCACCTGATTCTCAGTCCTGTTACGGTCAGCACTCACCTCTCTCCCCCTCTGCTACATCTATGTCCCTCGTCATCCTCATGTCTAATGCAGGTGAATGGGTCTGCATTAGACATAATGATGTCATGGGTCCTTACTGCCGGAGCCTAGGGGCGAAGAGGCTGCAGGGACAAGCCTAACAGCCAGCAAGAGCGAGGTTCGGGTGAGTGTATCATCTTTTATCCAGCCCTAGACCAAAATGAGCAGTTAACCCTTGCAGTGCTGGGGTAGCCCCAATGCAAGGGTTAACATTATTCCTGTAATTCTTCTTCAAGTTTCATCATAAATATTCCACTAGGTTATGATTTTCGAGCAGAACACATAGGGGTCACCACTAGATAGAGCCAAGGAGCATAGCAATTTTCTATGCTCCTTGGCTCCATCTAATGCCAGGTATTCCATGCGATTGGCACTTGCCTAGCATTTGGGTGGGCGGAAGATTATTACATTTGCACTATAAACACTGGGCGTGATCTAATATAAGGGCTTAATGTACAATTAGATTGCATTGTGTATATACCACTATGTTAATGCTACGATATATTTGTAAGAGTGCTGACAACTAAGGTCTAATATTACTGTGTATATATCGCTATGGTAACTATCGGCTATGGTGATGGTGTATGTAGAGCAGCTCAACTTCCTCAGTCCCCTGATGAAGTCATTCTAAAGAAATGCATAAGACAGCAATGTTACTATCAATCTGAACATACGGTATGTATACAGAGGAGAGGATTGAGGATGTAATATGTTACTTCACTGTGTTCACCTTTACACTGAGTTTTTTTCTAATAAAAAGGTTTGTGCTGTGATGAATGTTTTCACTTTGTGTATTAGTGAATTGAAAGGATACTACAACCCTCACGGGCAGGGCCCTCCTAACCGTCTTGTCTTGTATTGTAGCTGTACTGTCCTCCTAATATATAAATTGTGTATAATAGTAATAATAATAAAAATTAGGGATGCACCGAGTAAGAGTACCGATATTTATCTTCCGGTACTTGGCGATGCCGAGTACCGATACCGGTACGTCCGCTAGCTTGGAGCCGTCTTCCCAGTCAATCAGGAAGCTGGGTGGCGTGTCACAGCCCGCCGCCCGGCTTCTTGATTGCTTGAGAAGTCAGCTCCATACTGTTTGGCTGGCTCAATGTTGATTGGCTGGAAACCTGGCTTCTCAGGCAATCAATCATAATCAAGCTGGCCAAAAAGCATGGAATTTAGGAAGGCGGGCGGCGAGTCATTACCAGCCTCCCGGCTTCCTGATTGGCTGGAAAGCTGGCTCCATGTTCCCTTGCGGCACTGCCAGCCAGAGGAAATCTCCCTCTGACCAGAAGTTCATATATAGTTCATAGTGTATATATATATAATTTTTATTTTTTTCCACATAACTAATATGTCCAATATGACATTTCTACTCTATAAATTACCTTGGTCTCCCTCAGCTCCCTTTTGCCCTGGAACGCCAACTGGTCCTAGGGGGCCACGTTTTCCATTACTTCCTCCAGCCCCTGGTTTCCCCTAGTAAAAATGAAAAACAGAAGGTAGAAATCATATCAATTGAAGATTGAGGCTCAGATTAGGAATGTGGGATTTTTAAACATTATATATATGGCTCTACTTAAACTGGTTTGTATGAATTATTGTTAAAGCCATCTTTTTTTTTTTTGCTTTACAGGGTTTGAACCTCTGTCATGTTTTCATCACCGTCTGATGGGGAAATTTATAATCTCTCTGATGACTGATTTATATTACCTCGACAAGACATTTTTTTCAGGTAGTTTTAGCAGCAACATATGCTTTTTCATCAAATGGTCCCTGTTGTCACTGGTGGGTTTTCCCCTCACTTTCAAAAGATTTCCAATTACTCGTGTCACTGGGACAGGAAGTGAAGAGAAATCTCCCCAGTGGGGCATAAACAGCAACAAAACAAAACAAACCACTCTAAAAAAACTCTTTCTATTCCCTGCTCTATCATGAGTTATACGGCTATGCAAATAAGACTTTTATAAGTTGTAAGGGACTAATAAGACAAGATGTAAGCACTCTGTACTTGAAAAAATTGGTCTGCATACTAAAGAGGGTTGTTCACAAGGCAGAAGGTCAGTAGGTATGTGCTGAACAAAGAATTCTTACAAAGTCAGAGCCAAATCTCTGGATGACATAGGAAATAAAGGATTCTTAGCTCAGCAATGGTATGCATAGGCAGATGTTGTCAAGATATGATTGTATAACAGTAGCTGCCATAAACCCCCTTATACCTGATGCTAAATCAGTGTGGAAAGAGGCCGCAGACAGGGGACTGCTGTTTATATATAATATTCATTTGCTTAAAGTTAAACTCTAGCCGTGGCGTTATTTTTCACAATTGCACGGGCTCAGTGGCATAGCAATCGCTATGGCATCTCAGGCTGCTGGCTGTCACTGGTGGGTGTGAGGAGGAACGTGCCTCTGTTAGATCACCGACAACCTTGTCAGTGATCTGTGCAGCGGCGCGTTCCTCCTCACAGCCGCTGCTGAGTCACTGACAGCCAGCAGCTGCGGAGGAGGAGAAGGCTGGGCCCGGCGTCAGCAGCGTTAGAGGAGGCGGGCTCGACAATGGAAGAGGAGGCGGGGCCCAGCGATGGATGAGGTGGGGCCTGCCAGCGACCGTGGAGGAGGAAGAGGCAGACAGAGGATCGGGGCCGACAGGTAAGAGGTGTGCAGGGGTGTGACCAGCCCACCTGAGAACCTGCAGAGCCCACCATAGAGAGTTTATGACGGGCTCTGCAAGGTCACTCTCAGGTGGGCTGTTTGGGATATCAGGTGGGCTCTGCAAGGGCATATCTAGAAATCACAGGGCCCCATACAAAATTTTGCTACTGGGCCCTGTGTTTTCTAGTTACGCCCCTCTTCTACACTGAAATTTCTTACTCTGATTTTACTGCACACTCTAAGCTTCTCACAATGTGCATTAGAAGCTGCAGCAAGTCAGATAAAGCCCGCCTCATTTCCTGGCTGGAAGGTGTCCAGCATCATCTCGTTTCTTCCTCCCCAGCCTTACTGTTCCTGGCCCAATCCTTTCATTCATTTGATTTTGGTTCCTTCAGTCAGGGAGGCTTAGCAGTACATGTGGGTTTTACGTAGGGTGGTCCGTATGCAAATGCAGCCTAGTAATAACTACTGCCCAGACTGACATCACCAATCAAGGATATTTTATATTTGCATAACCCCTCTCAAGAGTCAGCCCACTGCTTGCATCTGGTTTGACGGCTATGGAGAGAAATACTGGGGCGGGGTGCTGTGATGTATTCAGGAAGATGTGTACAGCACCGTGCCAGCCCCTCATACTAGCCATGATGCATACAGAAGCACAGAGATCCAGTGATTACATGATTGGATACAAAATAAGGTATGTAATAAAAAAATTTGATATGTTAATGAGGGGTAAAAAGAGGAACCAGGAAAGGCAAAATAGATGACATTTCAGTTACTAATGCAAAAAATGTAATATGTATTAATAACACCTGCTACAAAGCCAACACTAATGTTTTTAAAATGCACGTAAACATAAACTACAGTTAAAAATAGCTGTAAAAAATAAGTCAAGGCAACTGGACTTGCTGTATTTTTCTTGAAGACATTTCACTTGTCATCCAACCAGCTTTCTCAATTCAGAATTGAATTGAGAAAGCTGGTTGGATGACCAGTGAAAAATACAGCAAGTCCAGTTGCCTTGGCTCATTTTTTACAGATATACCATGACCTGGATGAATGAGAACCTTCACTGACATGCAGTTAAAAATAAACATTTGGCATGCAAAAATATTTAGGGGTCTATTCACTAAGCTGCCGTAGGCAGGCGAGTGAACGCCCGACCTGAAGCGAAGTGAGCCGAACGCTGTTCGACTATTCACTTCAGGCTAGTACAGCTGATTTTAGCCGTACATCGGGTGGCTTTGTGTGGCTTCGGGTCGGCCGAACATGCTCAGCATGTTC